GAGGAGGAGGAGGAGGAGGAAGAGGAGGAGGAGGAGGAGGAGGAGGAGGAAGAAGGAGTAGTAATAACAACTGAAATAAAATGAGAATGATAAAAATTAAATTGAAAGAAAAATAATGTGTTGATAAGAAAAAGAAGAAGAAGAAGAAAAGAGAGAGAGACTATGTTAATAAAGGAATGAATTAAGAATACCAGCATTTTTTTTCTAGAAGAAAGATAACGACATTAAATGTTACAAAGAAAAGGATAATGAAATTGTACAAAGGATAAAAAACAAGAGAGAGAGAGAGAGAGAGAGATAGATAGATAAAGTATTAAAATCAAAGTACTAAAAAAGAGATAAGAAGAATAAAAACGTTTGATGAAAAATAAAAAAAAATAAAAGGGTAAATAAAATCATTAATTACAAGAAAGAATAAAAAAATAAAAAAAATAGAAAAATAATTAAATAAGGTAACAGAGAGAAAAGAAAAGTAAATAAAAAAAAAAGGAAACGAATGAAGTGTTAAAAGTAGAAAAAAAAAATAAAAAAAAAATAAAGAAAGAGAAAGAGATAGAGATAACGAGTGTAAAACAAGGAAATATGTATAAACAAAAAAAAATAAAATAAAATAAAATGTAAGGAAAAATAAAGAGAGATAAAAAGTGTTGATAAGAAGAAAATAGAAAGAAAAAGAAAGAAAACTAGAAAAAGAGAGAAAGAGAGATAGAAGTAAAAAAGAAAGTAGGAGAGTACTATATAAATACACATACGTATATACATGTATACATAGGTGGGTGGGTGGTTGGAAAAGAAGGCAAGGATAAAACTAAATATTCTTACGAGAAAGAGAGAGAGAGAGAGAGAAAATAAAAAATACAAAATAAAAAATAAATATAAAGAAAAGAAAGAGAAAGAAGACAAATGTAAGAAAAAAATCGATTTATGTATATTAGATAAAAAATAAAATATTGAATAATAAAAGAGGTAACATACAAAGTATTAACAAAAGAGAGAAGGAGAAAGATAAAAAGAGAGAGAGAGAGAGAGAGATAAAGAAGAAATAAGTGGGGAGTTCTTTATATATATATACGTGTTTTGTGTGGGAGGATAAGAAACAGAGAGAAAAAGAGAGAGAGAAAGAGAAAGAGAGTTAAATGGTTGTTTGAGAAAGATAAAGATAAAGATAAAGATAAGGATAAAAAATTAGAAAGAAACAGAACCAATTTACAAAAAAATCAATCTAAATGTTACACAATGATAAAAATACAAAAGCTACCAAAAAACTATGAATAAAAAAAAACTAGAAAATAGAAAATAGAAAATGAAAGTAAAGAAAGACAGAGAGAGATATAAAGAAGAAATAAGAAAAGGTGGGGAGTTTTCTATACCCATACGAACACACACCTCCCATTTATATATACATACTTATATATATATTACATTGTAGATGGAAAAGAAGGAAAGAAGGAAGGAAGGAAGGAAGGAATGAAGGAAGGAATGAAGGAAGGAAGGTAGAAAGGTAGGGAGAAAAGTAAAATGCGCCTGCGAGAAAAAGAGTGAGAAGGATAGTAGTTAGTTTACGATCGGCATAGTAAGTCAGTTCTCTCGCGTGGTGTTTTCAACTCTTCCTGCGTTTCTCTTACGAATTTCTCTCCTCACCTCTCCTCACCTCACCTCTCCAATCTCTGGTTTCTTGAAGTACTACTAACTATACGTTCTGTATGTATATGTATACCATATGACGTCTGTCTGTGTATGTGTGCTGCTGTAATGTCTATGCATGAGTGCTGCTGTTACGACGTATCTCTCTGTGTATGTGTGTTTTATCTTTGCTAGCTAACGTTAGAGTTCTGAAGGAAATCGAGTAGACTATTTCTTTCTCTTTCTTTCTCTTTCTTTTTCTTTTTGTTTGTCTCTCTCAAACTTAGGTTTCTCGCGCGCGCAACCCGAAGAGAGTACAAGCACAGAGGCACAGGCATGGGCACAGGCACAGGGACAGGCACACAGTGCGCTTGTTTATTAGATCAGAGAGTATAAGCCAGTTTGCAGTGACGCACGACCTGTTCGGAGACACACACCGCGTTCAAACTCCCGACAGTTTAACAACACAATATACAAATCAACATTTTCAATTGTTTTTTTTTTTTTATATATATATTTATATATATAAATCGCGTTTAACGTTCGTAATAACAATCTTGTGTTTCTCTCTTTGAAATCAATTTAAAAAAGAAAAAAAAAAAAGTACAAGTTAAAGTTTATTCAAGATTTAGTAAAAGTATAAACTATTATTTATTATTAATTATATTTTTCACACAGCTCAGCTCTCTTCTATTTTCTTAGGTTATATATTTTCTTTATTTTATTTTTTGTGCGTGTGGTACGTGCGTGTGTACGTGTAACGTGTGTACGTGTGTATTTTCATCTTTCGAACAAATTTTTCACGAGGTACGAAATACGAGCTTCAAATTTTTATTCACCTGTATAATTCAATTTTTATTTTCCTAATCATACTTTTTCTTTCGAATTTTTTTTTTTTTTTTTTTTATATACCTTTCTTATTCAATCTTACCTTTCTTTTTTGATATATATATATATACTTATTGTTTCTTTAGAATGTTTTTAAAGTATTGTAAAACTTTTGTTTATTACAGTTTTCTTCGTGTACGTACGCACATATTTGATTTTTCCTTTTAGAAATATACGTCGTGTTATTTTTCTTTTTGTTTTTATTTCTTTTTCCTTCTTTCTTTCATTTGTAAACTTTATTATTCTATTTATTATCGTAAAAAAGAGAAATAGATAAAATTGTAAAGTTGATTTTGTGGGCAGTGTTATAACGTGACGCATTTGTTATTACTCATAAAACCGGAAGTGAAAGTCCGCAGTTATGTCGCTTCTTTCTTTTTTATTCTTCTTCTATGTTTCTTTTTCTTTTTCTTCTTCTTCTTCTTATTATTATTATTATTTCTTCGTTATTAATCGTTCGTACAAATAACCAAGAGAATTATTTATTTATTCATTCGTTCATTCAATTACGTTTGATTAATGTCACGTCTGTATCACGACGAACTTATTATTTCTTGAAATAAATTTCTTTCATTTCCATAACAAGAAATACAAATGTTCGATTAGAAGAGAATTATTAATTAGAAAAAAAAAGATCAAAAAAAAAATAATAATAATAATAACGATTGAATGGAATAAAGTAACATCGTTTTAAAGCTAAATGAATATTAAATTAAATAATAGTCTCGTTGAATCGATTGATTTGAATTACACAATAGGTCATGCACATCATAACAATAATTTAAAATAACATTTTATTCTCGATTATTTTATATGTCATCTAATTTATTTAAATTTTATTTTTTTTTTATTTTTTTTTTTACCCAAATTTTCATTTAAACATTATCATAATTTTGATTAAATTACAATTGTATAAATCGTTCAATTTGAATGAAATGATCAAATATTTTCTTTAAATCATTTAGAAAACAAAATAAATAAATAAATAAATAAATAAATAAAGAAGTTTTAATTAAATATTAATTAATCAAATGTTTTATGATCAGACAATTATGTGTAAAAATCATAATATTACAACAGTATAATAACAAAGATGCAATCATTTAATTAAAACTTCAATAATTCTATCTCAGTACTCATAGCAGTCAAAGGGTTAATTAGAAAAGTACAAAGATAAGGATCTTTACACATTATGATTATATTTTAATGAGAAATAATATTAGAACTAGACATTTCAGATGTAAAGGAAGAAAAAAAAGCCCTTTTGTAATTAATAGAATCGTTCCAAACGATTGAACTTGCCCTGAGTTAGGTGTTCTTAATGGGTCAGTGCGGAAGACCTCCTAAGTTCGTCGTTTCAGCGGATTCCTTTTCTAACCATTAGATCGAACTAGTATGAAGCCTCTTCGAGTATACTTTAGACTTCGATCGACTATTTCTATCTCTTTAACTCCCCATTTTACCCAATACCTTATCAACCCACCCCATTATATTTATATTTATATCATTTAATTACAATTTCAAATAATTTTCTTCAATAGTTTTTTGAAATTTAATAATAAAACAATTGTCTAATAATTTAAATCACATATATGTATAAATCATATATTATATATATATATACAAAAAATAATATTATAGGAATTGTGTATAATATATTTTTATTATATATATTTTTTATTGTGTTTTTATTTTTTATTTATATACATATACAATTCCTAGCTATATATTGTTTTATTTTTATACCATTTTATTGTTCATTCCTTTAATTTTTGAAATGGAACATCGCATAACGTTACCTCGAAGATATTTTTTTATTTTAAAGATTACAAGAACGTCCAGACGACCAGGAGGATAAAAAACAACAACAATCCCAACAACAACAGCAGCAAGAACAACAACAGGAATTAAAGAAAGAAGAAGAAGAAGTCAAATTAGAAGACGTTATCAAGGATAAAAAGGAAGAGTTAGGTGTAAAGGATTATGAAGAAATCCTCCAGCAGCAGGAGGAACTTCTTCTGCTGGAGGAAGATGAAATAATCAATTGTCAAGAGGAAGATAATTTGATAAGTAAAGAACATTCTTTGGAATATCAAAGTCAAACTTTGGAAAGTCAATTGGAATCAATTGTACCACCATCATCACCATCACCACCACCAGTTGTATCGGAACAACCACCAGTTGTATCAGAACAACCACCAGTTGTATCAGAACAACCACCAGTTGTATCAGCACCACCACCACCGGTTGTACCAAGGAATTTCTTTAAATCTGTACCGGACAGTTGGAAACGTGAGGTTTGTGAGGACAGTTTTGAAGATATACAACGTAGTTACAAAGAAACGCAATATTCGCCACGAGAAAAACGTGAAGTTGAAACACAAACAATACAAGAGACCAAAAGTACACAGTGTAGTCCCGATCAAAGTTTATCGAGTACCACAACTGCTGAGATATTCGAGACCGCCGGTTTTCACGTGGCATTGAGATTTTATCAAAGTCCTAAGAGAGAAGTACAAACTCAAACACAAGGTGAAAGTAAAAGCGTTCAATGTTCATTGGACGATTTTATTTACAACAACGAATTATCGTTGGATCCTAATCGTAGTTTCGTTCAAAAAACTAAGGACAATTTGTTTCTCGTTAAATCGGATAGAATACAAATTCAAGAATCTAAATCTATTCAGTGTATACCGGGTGATATATTATTATCAACTGAAACACCGTCCAAATTTGTAGAAGATAAAGAAGACGACGAACGAGAAAAACAAACAAGTAAAAAGAAAACAAAGAAAGAAGAAGAAGAAACTTTTAGTCCACGTAAAGAAGTTGAAGTTCAAACTTATCAAGAATCCAAAGCAATTCAATGTACCGATGAAGAATTCTCATCTTACGAATCACCACAACAACAACGTCAATTAGAAAGATCATCTACGAGTAGACCAATTACCCTAACAACAACAACAACAACAACAACAACAATCACTACTGGTATTAAAAAAGCCGAAACTTCGGTTTCACCGTCACGTAAATTAACAACTGTTGTATTCGTCGAGGGTAAAACGATCATGACGGTCACGCAAAGAGATCACGATGGTAACGTTGCATGGTCAAATCATTGGGGTCCTGAAAGGCTCGTCGAAATTTATAGGGAACCCAAAACAAGTTTAGGACTTAGCATCGTTGGTGGGAAGGTGAGTAAATTATTTTCATTTGATTATTGTTTTTTTAATCTATCTATCTTTCTCTCTCTCTCTCTCTCTTTTTCATTGTCACAAAATGTAAAATAATTATTAAAGGGAAGACCACTTTACAGTATGAGTTATTATGTTACTTTCCAATTCAAAAGATCATGTAAGGAATCGTATTACTTCTCATGTGTTTAAATTCTTCTTATTATTATTCTGTTTCTTTTTCTTCTAACTGTATGATACAAAATAACACGTACATACATACATACATACATGCACACATATGAAAGAGGAGGACAAAAGGACGTCACGCTAGCTAGTGTTACGTTATTGAATGAAAGTGAATTTTTATTAGTTACATACGTATTACGTCGAGACAAATTGATGTGTTATACCGTTTGAAAATAAAGTGGATACAGTGGTCTAGTTTTATACCTATATATTATATATACTAGGTGTTAGAAATATAATAGAAAATTAGGATAAAAACAAATCTTATTTTATTACAAAATTATTTAAATATTTTTAAAAATAATTAATAATACTTTTATTTTATTTGATATGAGAATAAACTAGGTATAGTGATCTAGTATATATCTGTAGTGTATTATATACAGGTGCTAGAAATATAATAGGAAATCAGTATCAAGGAATCATGATGTTTTATCGATAATTGATTTACGTTACCTTTAATTATAATTGATTATAGTATTATAGTATAATAATCACATATCACTGTAATATAGGGTGTTGTTAATAAATAACAAAAGAAACAGTATCAATAGATTATACGTTATCAATAACTACTTTTCTAATCAACGTAACTTTCAATTAAAATTGATTATTAAATTGCATACCAACGATTAAATACACCACGGTGTTGGGGAAAAAAAAGAAAAAAAAAAAAACATTTCAAGAACAAATATTAATTTTCTACTATCTAAACAATTTCGATTTAATTTTTCATTAATAATATCTTTGATACAAAATTGATTTAATGTTAAAATAAATTAATGACGATTACTAGAAATAAAGTAAAATTATATTAATCAAATTTAATAATATTAATTATTAAATTGTCACACACACAGTGATAAGTTTCTTCATCTTTCTTCTTCTTTAATTAATAAAGAATTTTAATTTAAACAATTAAATTTTTCAAAATGAATTTTCTATGCAATATGATGGTAAGTGATGATTCATAAAGAAAAAGAGAATCCTTCATGTTCTTATTAGCCTGTATCAAAGTAATTCCATTTGGTAACCAAAAGATATAGGAGAGTAGTAGTTGCATCCTATATAAGTGCATATATTAATGCAGTTTCGTGACATTAAGCTGATAGGTTGAAGAGTGTTAGTTAGAGTGAATGAAATTGAACACTTGCGCGTGTGCATACACACACACACATATATATGCGTTTTATGCATATTGTATATGTATATATGAGAAAGAGAACATGTTCATTTCCTCTTACCGATAATTTGCACTCACAGTAGAAACATAGTCTAATGGAGAAAAGAAATTCATTTAAAAGTTTCATCTATTACCATCTAATAATATTTAAAACGAATTTTTGTTTGATTAAAAATGATTAGGAATTATATTACATTATTGTATTCAATTTCAATTAGATAATGCAAAGTATAATTGAAGATAAAGAATAATAGTATTATATAATATTTTATTTTATTATATTATATTATTATATAGTAATATAATATAACCTTTTATATATAACCTTAT